GCATGCCAGCATTGCACTAACATGTACTTATTATTGTCTCTGCCGGTATTTTTAATTTTGGGTATACTTTTTATTGGAGCACTCATATTCTTTGATCTCACTGTTGCATCAGGTAGGATCAATGGGCTCCTACTGTACATTAATACCGTTAAAATGAACGAATCAGTTTTCTTCCCTTTAAATGGCAATCCAGTACTAAAACAATTCATTGCTTGGCTCAATTTAGATCTTGGAATTGACTTGTGTTTTTATAATGGACTAGATGCTTATTGGCAAACATGGCTCCAATTTGCATTTCCTTTCTATCTCTGGATTTTATCAATTGGAATGATCATCAGTTCTCGTCATTCAATCAGGTTGTCCCGTCTCTTTGGACGAAATGCAGTACCAGTACTTGCAACCCTTTTGCTAATATCATACAGTAAGATACTATCTGCTATAAAAGATGTGTTTATGTATGAGACATTGTCTTGCCATGACAATGAGTTGCAGGTTGTGACCAAGTGGTCTGTCTGGAGCCTTGATGCAACCATCAGCTACTTCAGCATGAAGCGTTTCCCTATCATCATTTTCTCAGCTCTATTGTTGCTAGCAGCCTTGCTCTATACTTCATTCCTCACATCCATGCAATGGCTTCAGCAATATAGCTACAAAAATTGCTGTCATGGGAAGAGGGATCCATTATTTCGACTTAAGCCATTCATTGATGCATATTGTGGGCCCTACAAAGATAAATATCGTTACTGGACTGGGTTGCTGCTTTTGACACGGCTCCTCCTTACAAGCACTTTCTGGTTTACTTCTAGCATTGATAGAGCTAACAGCATTGTACTGATAGTAGCAGTGTTGTTGTTGCTCTCACTAGCAGTTACCACTAATGGAATGTACACTAAGAAATACCTCAATGCACTCGAGATTGGATTCATTGTCAATATAGGGTTGATATCTCTTGGTAGCCTTTCAACTAACAATAAGAAGACAATCTTTATTCTATCAAACATTTCAATTGCTGTTGCTGCTCTAGTCCTCACTGTAATGATGGGAATAGTCATGATAAAGAAGCCCCTATTGTGGATGAAGTGCAAGAAACAAATTAAAACATCTGATACAGTTCCTTTACTTGATGGTGTTGGCTACTCTGATGATGGTAGCCCTCCAGGATCACCTGCTAATCTCATAAGAAGGAGAGAAAGTCTCATATTTGACATTGATATGGCTAATTTACCTGAATGCTGATAAAAATAAATTAATAAATTTTTCATTTGTCTTTTGCTATTAGATCTACATCAAACTATAGTCCATTTGCATTTCTATTTCTTGCTTTAAATTTTGACATGCTAACTTTTGTTGTAAAAATACACATAGCAATGCGTTCATCTCCTTTTACTACATCTATTGTGGTTTAAGAAGTAGCTCTAACTTTTTATAGCTTTGATAACTCGTACAGAAAGTAGAGTAATTGCTCAAATTTGAGCCCCAGTTTAACCACCTGTGCTAGACTACATAGTTTGACCCATGATAATTAACTATAAAATACTGCCCATAAATCAAGAATCAACTGCATAATAATAAGAGTACATACACTTATGTAGTCTTAATAGTATGAATCCTAAATTGCCTCAAATTTTGTACACAGCTAGTCGAGACTAGTACACAGCATAAGTACATGTATATGCATCAGAAAATGCAATAAAAATAAATAATTCTCTCCTTTTCATTTTTGGCAAAATTTTGCCACAAGTTGTGTAAAAGTTTGTAAAATATCAAATTGTGATTGAAGTCAGTTCAAGCTTTCTACACAACATACATGTATAATGTATCAGGAAATGTAATAAAATTGTCTCCTAGCCATTTTGACAAAATGCCATGGTGTGTGTGTGCCTGTTCAAATCAAAGTCACTGTCAAGATAGTGTTGTAGATGGGTTGGCGAAGATACAAGTAATTTGAGACTGAAGTTGATTGAAAAGAGGAGAGGGTGAAGATGCATATACATTATGATTTAAAGTCGATGCGTCAATAAGAAATAACTTTGATGAAAAAGAATTACTGGTAAGTCCTAATGAAGATAATGTGTTAAGATCATTGTGTAATGGCATCTCGCTGGGATGGGGGATGAAATTATAATGAATCAGATGTGAAACTTAATAGGAATTACAATCTATAATACACTGGCACAGCATTAATCATTACTAAGCATCAGTTCAGCTATCATACCTCTTTCTCTTAAGCCCCTCACTCAATATAACCATGCATAAAAACTTGCAGACACTCCCTCAGTAGCAGTATAGGTCCTACACCATCCCCCACTCTTGCTAATACTAATAAATTTAATTGTCACCACTAAAGATAGTTCAAATAATTGCAAAGTCAATCAATTAGTTGGTTCAATCAAAATTTTAAAAAGCTTAGTTATTGCAATTCCAACATTATTATTATTATTATTATTATTATTATTGAAGTATAAGGTTAATCTATATTTAAATATGTATTTAGTTGCAACAAATCTTTTTTGTAGTGCTTCTATTAATAATAATTCAGACTAACTGACTGTTACTATAATATTTTTACTGCTTGTGCTTCAAACTATTTTTTCAGATCAAAGTGTGTATTACAGTGTTAGTTTAAATGTTTATTTTGCCTTATATGCTAGTAAAACTAATGCTATAACCTACACAGCAGAAATGAAGAATGTTATTTTATTGTTTTTGTACAGTAAAAGGAAGTTAATTATATAAAGTAAAAGGTCAAGTAACTATTGACTAATATTGTCCGATCATTAAAATAACATAATAAATTATACAGTAATGACTTTATTAATGAAGAACATCTTCATACTCATCATCAGTCCTACTATTTAGAAATAATAACAATTGTTATTGTTAATTATGCTTACTCATTAGTTATTTTATGCAGTTGATAGCTCACATTCCTCTCATACACCATATTACTGGCCTCAGTAGTGACAACTGGTGGCTTGTCAACAGTCATTGAATTATTAAGTTTCCTTCTCCTACTAATAAGAACAATATATTGTCTATCTGGAAGTTTTTTCTGTGATTTAAATTTTACTGAATTAGAATTTTGCAAAAATTAGATCACCCATATGATTACATGCCACATTTAATAATACATGTCACAGTCTTATTTAGTAAAAATTAAATCACAGCACAATTTTAAAACACAATAATGTTCTACCACACTAATTTCCTGATCTACAAATATACTGTATGTTATACTTACCAATAAAGAATGATAGCAATTAATATTGTCATCAATATTATTAGTAATATAATATTAAAGGATATACTCAAACCAGACATCACTAGTGCAGCATTAGTAGATCCTGTACCGGATAAGAATTGAGATAATATAAAACCAATTCAATAACTTACTGTCATCATCAATAATAGTCACAATTGCTCTATCACCATATGAATAAAAAGAAACTCTATTTCCTGATACTATTTCCATTTTAACATCAAAGGATTCAGTTGATTCTGGTACAGTATCATCCACTAGTGATATTGAATATGAAACTGATGACTGTCCGCTAGGTATTGTTAATGTATCAGAAAATGATATGTAATCGGTAACTATGATAAAATTTAAAAAATTAATAATACTAGATTACAACAAACTTAAGCAAACCTTTCCTGGCTCCACCACTGGTAGGTAAGTCAGTTAATCTAATGACAGTATCAGTAACACTAAGCACTGATGCTGTCACAGTAACAGTAACACTTCCATCATTCTCTGATGCTATGTACTCAGATGAACTGAATGTCAATATTTGAACTATAAGCATAATGATACAGTGTATATACTAACGCTATACACAGTTTTCACATAATGTCTTACCACTAGTATCATAAATGATGATGGTAGCAATTGATCCAATTACCGGTATACTTAATGGTGCTCCACTCACATATGACATATTAACATAAAAGTATTCTGTAAGCTCAGATCCTGGAGATAATAATATTGTGACATTATAGGAGAAACCCATAGACCCAACAGGTAGAATAATCTCCTCATTAAAGCCAATGTAGTCAATGTTCCCTAGGAAGAATGGAATAAGAATAAAAGATTAAGATTACAGGAGAGAACGAAAGAGAGAGAGAGAGAGAGAGTGAGGAGTAAATACAGCTAGAAGCAATAGGTACAATTCCTATTAACTATTACAATGTCCTTACTAGTAGCAGGATTGGCAGCATTAAGAGGTACATCAGTTAGTCTAATGATAGTGTCTCCTAATAGAGGTCCTGATGTAACACCTCTTAGAGTAAGAGTGACATTAGAGGTCTCGTGAGAAGAAACAGAAATGTAGTCAGAGGAGAATCTAATGGTACGAACTAAAAATAATAATAATTATTTCTAAAATTGTGTAAGAATTGGAAGTTACCGTTAGCATCATAAATAGTAATGGTAGCATTAGACCCAGTAAATGCCAATGGCCATCCACTAACAAACTCCAAAGTGGCACTGAATACTTCACTATATGATTCAGCCTCAAGATTAAGAATGATAAGAATGGTATGATCATATCTTGTAGCACCAGCAGGTAGAGATATTGTATCATTGAATGACATGTAATCAAGATCAGCTATGGTATTATAGCAATGGAAAGATAAGTCACATTCGAGTACTCACGTGTAGCTTGATTAGTTGCTCCAGCAGTTGGTATAGAATATAGTCTAACAGTAGATGGTTCTAAAAGAGGTTGTGATGTCACCAATGAGATATTAAGAGTTATGTTAGTATCTCCCTCAGTTACACTGTAACTAACAGGGCTAAACCTTACAGTAGCAACTAAAAATAATGAAACATAATACAAAGAGAGGGGGAGGACTAACTATCATTGTCAATAATATTAATGGTAGCATTAGATCCAGAAAATGTCAATGGCCATCCACCAACAAATTCTAATGTTGCACTGAATTGTTCAGTAAATTCTGCCTCTCCATAACTGTAGGTTGATCTATATAAATCATAAAATCTTGTAGAACCAGGATATAGAGTGAATGTTCCATTAAAAGATGCGTAATCAACTCCAGCTTTTATAAATCAATGGGAACTTCAATGATATTACAAATAATTCAAATAGATACTGACCAGTAGCTTGATTAATTGCTCCAGCAGTTGGTATATCATACAGTCTAACCATAGATGGTCCAAGAAGTCGTTGTGATGTCACGAATGAGATCCTGAAGGGACTTCCCTCAGTTATATTGTAAGTAACAGGATCAAACATCACCGTAGGAACTAGAAAATTAGTAAAGACTGATTTAATCTGATGAGATTATGAAACTAACCATCAGTATCATTAATGTTTATGAGAGCATTAGATCCATTAAATGTCAGCTGGCTTCCACTAACAAAGGTTAAAGATGCACTGAATACTTCAGATAATTCAGCCTCAGGATTAGAGAAGATGGTGATAGTATAATTATAACTTATAGCACCAGCAGGTATAATGACTGTATCACTGAATGACATGTAATCAACTCCAGCTATAATAGACAATGAAATTATGATTTACAAAACATTTCATTAAGTTACCAGTAGCTTGATTAGTTGCTCCAGCAGTTGTCACACTGGATATTCTAACAGTTGAGTCTGCACTACGAGGCTCAGATATCACTAATGAGATGGTAACATTTATATTGGTATCTTCTTCAGTCACATGGTAAGTATCAGGATCAAACCTTACAGTAGCAGCTATTGAAAAGGAATTGTATCAATCCATCCATTACTATTATAGTCAATGCACTTACCATCAATACAAAAGATACTCAGTAACAGTATAATCATTATATGATACAACATCTTTTCCATTTTATCTTGTTCTTCTCCTTCCCTCTCAGTGTTGCTGTTAATCCTGTTATTATTGATATTTTACACTCAACCTTTATACTTGGACTCTTGCAGTGTTTACTTTACTACACATTAAAAAGGAAATAATTTATCAAATCAGGAGTACATGATCTAAGTAATGAACTGAAGACTTAGAAATGATATTAAATCACTGTACCAATGAATAATCTATCATTTAAAAGCTTAATAGACATGACCCTTTGTTGTAAACAGCTGCTTTACATTGTATTTTAATGCAAGAAAATTATAATAATTATTTCAATAGTCATTTACAATACATAAAATGCATATCAATTGCACTCAGAATAAAAATTTCCCCACTGTGACTAAGGATAGATAAAGGAGTGCCAATAGTAAACATTGCCTTACGTAATGATTGATAAACTAGCAATTTAGCATAAATGAACTTAGCTACAAACTGTAAACAATTAAACTAATAATAGGAAGACAATTTCAATTTTGTAAAACATTTTGACTGCTGTTGCTGTTCTGGTGCTCACTCACTGTAATGATGAGAATATTATACGGTTCCTTTACTTGATGGTGTTAGCAGCTCTGATGATGGTAGCCCTCGTGCTAATAACTAAGAGAGAATGATAGTCTTTCCTGACATATTGTCAGGTAGATTAATCTAATGATAATAATTAATTTATGTATGACATATTACTTGATTTGATATCCGGTTAATAATAACTGACAGTTTTATAGTCTGCAGATAGCCTAGGTACACTTGTGTGCATGTGTTTTAATATGTGTATGTGTGTACTAACACATACATCATGTGTATATGTGACATGTACATGTGTGTGTATATGTGTGAGCAATTATGCATGCTTTATATGTACCTTTATATGTCTATGCACAGGGGCGTATCCAGAAATTAGAGAAAGGGGGGCGCGAAGCGCACCGCGATTTTGGCTACACCCACTTTTACGGCGGTAAAACCATAGATACTATATACCCCTGGATATGAAACACGGCCCGACCGGATGTTCTGAGGCTTGTTTCACCGGAAATACGTCATATTACGTTTTCATTCAGAATAAAAATAAAACAATGATAAAAAGTATTATTATTATTGCTAATAAAAGTGTGATTTTATGTACAATAATACAATAAAACTTGACATTTATCATGCATTATAATTGCTGAAACTTTCCTTTTCTTTTAGTATATGCAGTCTACCAATGCATGACTTTCTCATCTCTTGTCACCTAAAAATGATGAATTTGACAACACAATTGCACCAAAACTAAAAATACACTCCTTTTGAGAATAGGCCCACTACAACTACCTATTCTCAAGCTACAAAACCATATAGAAAAAGTTCCAATTAAGTCAAGTATTACAAAGAAAAATTGGCTAGAAAGGTGGGGCTTGAAAAACCAAGATTTAGGAAATAACAGCTCTTTTACTTAACACAAACTCTAAATAATAGCCCCACTACAACTAGTAAACAATAACCTATCAGTACAATAAAAAATGTTAATTGGCCTAATTCAACAGAGTTAAGCTAAAAAAGTGGCTTGAGTGAAATGTACACAACAAGTAGGCTATGACATCCATTGTAGAACTATAATATGCACTCAAACTATCGTTTATGAGCATTATTTCAATATATAAAGGCTTTGCAAAGTCTTCTGAGGGATCATTCAGCTACTTTAACAAACGAATAGGCTACTGTGATTGTTTTACTTACCCTGGCAGCCATGAATGCAGCGAAACAAGGGTGAGGACAGCCGGATGTGACGTTTATGACGTTTCCTTATGGGATTTTATATGTGTGCATAGAGGAGTTTCGTATCCAGGGGTATATAGTATCTATGGTAAAACGGCCTTTTCCTGCATTTTCGTAAATTACGGGTGGGGCCAAGATCATTTCAAGCATACTGCTATGTTACTGGTACTTCTGATTGCTCCTTAAAGCACTGGAAACTGCTGAAATCATGATAAGGGGGCTAGATAACTTTGTTAAGAGGCTTGGTAGTGATGCAAGAGTCCAGGACTTCAGTAATTTTTTCTGAGCCCAGCCTTGAGGGGGGGCGCTCAAGCCCCCTCAGTCCCCCCCCCCTAAATACGCCTCTCTGTAGCTGTATCCCGCCCACGCTTTGACTCAATTAATTAATCACCCTTAAGCCACGCCCAGTTACAAATTAATTAACAATTTAACACACTCAGTCTCCAATCTCTCCATACTTGTTTGAGAGCCATGGCTGCCGGGAGAGGGAGAGAGCACATTGAGAGATGGCTATCAGGGACTAACCAAGAACTGGTAGGTAGCTAAATAACGTAGCGTAGCCAATTAAAAATATAAGATTTACCGTATACGTGTAGTCAATTTGGACAAGCAATAATTGGTCTGATCAATCCTAATCATGTGGACAATTTGACATCTACACATTGTATGTATTCCATGCTACAATATTTTATACAACGCTAGTATCACTAATGTAGTTATTATTTTCCCAGTTATATTCTTATATTTTTTTTAATCCCTTAGTCACTAGACAAAGGATACACTCATCCTGCTCACTTGACTGCACTCCCTCAACCCGAGACTACCATTGTATCAAACAGTAGCGATTCATCTCCACCCTCCCTCCTCCTTCCCCCTCACATCAACAAATCAGTTTTTCCTCATCAATCATCTCAAATTTCATGTAAGACGTTTTTATAGTGTTAGATACAGGGTTTTTACTAAAGAATTATACAGGGTTCTAATATAACACATGTAACTTTAATAAATAACATTCCATATTGTGCTTTAATTTTGTGGAGCTAAACTTTCACGGATTGAACTCAATTTTTAGCGGGAATAATTATTGCAGATTTATGGTGGTGTTAAACGCACTGACAATTGAATATTTAATGGGTCTTTAATTTTTTGGTTGCATGCTAATTCATGAAACTTGTAACTGAGTTTTCTGGTCATGTGACTAGTCGAGGTCAGAACAAAAAGTGAGTATTTCCTGATGCATTTTGATGTTGAGCTGATTCTGACAAATAATTTTCCAGTTGTGAGCATTATAAATTTGAAAGAAGAGTGTAATAATGAAATTTAGTAATTGTGTAGTACAGGTGCATAATCCACAAAGTACATATACATCACTAAATCTATATGCATTTACTTTTTTCTAGCCATTATTATCTTTCTTTGTTATTTCTCATTGTTAGAAAGAGGAAGGTGCTGATAGTATCTTCCAGTCAACAGTACATCCCGAGGCCATGAATGGAGTGATGGAGTTCATGGCTCGTTTTGAAGAGAAAATGTCCTCACTGGATGAGCGATACCTTGAACTGTCCACTCAGAAGAAGAAGATGGAGGAAGAGCTGAAAGTACTCACTACAAAACTTGATAATCTTAACAGTTCTTATCAAGGAAAGGAGACAATAAGGTTAGACTATCCAATGATAATTAGTTAATTTAAGCCTAAACATCCAGTTTTGAAAAGCTTGCATGAATCTACATGTACACGTACATGTATTTATTACTCATTCAGTACAATCATGTACTGAAACACATGTACTACACCACATTTCCTATACCACTACACAAGCATACAATCACATTTTAAAATCTACCTGCACATTGTGCACAACATTTTTTTATCTTTTAAAGAAAAATTTTTTATGTGTTTACATTATTAACTAACAGACAGTAAAAAAACAATGGTAATATGTTGGTATTAATGTAATAATATACACAAACAGAACTACACAACGCATGAATGAATCTACCCAAATAAGGCAATAAGACTAATATTGGAACTAGTATCATTGGGCAAGCTCTTCTATACAAGACTGTCAGTCATGCCCAGTTTGTTTGTTTCTTTGTCTGTTTGTTTGTTTGTTATGCGTGATATGGTGGATATTATTTATAATTATTTTTCAATGTTTCATTGAAAGTGAGAGTGGTCAAAAAGAATAAAATTGTGATCAACACAGTTGAGAACAGTTACGAAGAAGTCATGAGCTTTCTAGCAGCAAAATAAGGAAAGATTCTTCTTTTCCAGCCTGCAGCTATAGTATCTACATGTAGGAGGCAGAGCCCCTCAATGCTTTATATTCTTCTAGTAGTGCGTACAATCAAGAGTGGATAATTATTTAGGGAGAGTGTCTAACCTGCCTATATTCTGTGATACCACAGCGCGTATGTTTACATCCGTTTTTTGCAAGTATACGGAGATAATCCCAGTAATCTTCAAAATTATGGGTGTGGTTAATAAAATGGC